GCCGGTCGACCGATTCAGTCGCCTGGCCAATGCCTAGCATCACCATTCAAGTTACATATATATTTTGATCTAATAAAAAGTTAGCTCTCCATGAAAGATACAGAATATCACACGATATTACTAGATTTCGGGGAAATAAAATTGAATGTAATAGAATCCTTTGTCACAAATATGACAGAATTATAAAATGGACTAAAAAGGAATCACAGGAAAATGAATGGCGGAAATAGGAAAGAGGAAAAACCTGCACGGCGTTGGATGGCGCTGCTTGGTCTACAAGGCTTCCACGATCATCATACATTGCACGGATCTGCCATAATACCCGTGCCATGTTATACAGCAATTGGCCCACAATTACATGTGCTAGCTAATGTCAATTATATGTGCTAGCTTCTGTTTTTCAAATGCAAGGCTAGTCCAGTCCATATACTGAATGAAATCATGTGCAGCAAGTAGGAAATAAAGAAACAAACCTTTCCAAAAGCTTCACCACAAACAAGAATATCGCCCTTATTCAAGGTTCCATTCTGTACGACTAGGGTGGCAAGAGGTCCTTTAGCCTTGTCAAGACATGCTTCAATAACCGTACCCTTTGCATTTCTATGAGGATTGGCTTTTAATTCTAGCAACTTCAAGTTCGCAACAAAAGCAAGTCAAAAGGGAACTACAACAAAAAGCAAAAAAGAAAGTCTAACCAAAAGTATACCTCAGCAACAAGCATGACAGTCTCTAATAGCTCATCAACATTCTCTCCCTTAAGAGCACTTATCTGACAGATATCACAACTAAATCAGCTCAAGATAGGTAATAAGTGGCTACGGTAAGGAACTTCCTTTTTCCAGAGTGTGCCAATAAACAACCTGAACCATCGGGGTGTCACCACCCCACATCTCTGGCATAAGCCCTATCTGGGAAAGCTCTTGCATGACTCGTTCTGGATTAGCTCCCTCCTTGTCCACCTGCTTGCATATGAGGTGACTGAAATATGAGAAAGGGGAAAATAAATTGACTTGTTGCAAGTAAGAAAGAGAGTGGCTAGAAAATAGACCTTATTTATAGCTATTACAACAGGGACTCTGGCTGCCTTTGCATGCGCAATTGCCTCATTTGTTTGTGGCTGAACGCCATCATCCGCAGACACAACAATGATACAGATATCAGTTACCTTTGCTCCTCGAGCTCTCATTGCACCAAACGCCTGTTGTGTCAATGATTAGGAAGAGTAATATGACATGCGAAAGTGAGAAAAATATACGAAAATAATATATATTGCTATACCTCATGCCCTGGAGTATCAAGAAAAACACAAGCCTGAGGGTTTCCATCAACTGGCACAAGAACCTGATATGCTCCAATTCCTTGTGTTATTCCACCAGCTTCAGATGCCACCACCTGTATGTCACTTTGGTTAGACATACAATTCTTTGTAAATGGTTGTTACCGTGTATGAATGCCAACAATAACATGTCTACCCCATGTCACAGACAAAGGACATGCCAAGGATAAGCTATTACCAATTTACCTTGCTCTTGCGTATATAATCCAAAAGGGTAGTCTGCAAACAGAAGTAGAAATGTCAAACAGTGGTCAGAATAATTAAGTCTTAAAATTTATATAACACGTGGTACCTTCCCATGATCAACATGACCCATGATAGTTACAATGGGAGGCCTTACTTCCAGTTTATCCAAATCCTCCTCATCAAGGAACTCATTCTTCTTTGCCATCTCTTCCACTCTCACCGGAACACTTTCCAGTACTTCAACTTCATATTCCATGCAAACCATCTTAACCAAATCTTTATCAAGAGTCTGAACATTGTCAAGCATTGCTCCTCTCACTGATAAAAAGCGCAGAATTTCTGATTCGCCAACTGCCAGTTGATATGCTAGTTCGTCAATATCCATACCTTCTTCACCAACTTCAAGGATCTCAACCCTAACAGGCTCTTCAGCTTCTAAAGCCTCAAGCCTGGCAGCCCTACGTTTTGCCTTGCTCCACCTCCTTCCCTTGCGCACTGGAGCGTCGTCATCAACTGATCGATCATCATTTGACATACGTCGGCGGGGACCAGCTGGTGTAATAATTTTTTTATGACGATTATCCTTCGCTTTGGCTGGTGGACCGCGTACTGGCTTGACAGGGTCTACCAGTGCCTCAGCTACAGCTGGATCAACCATTGGTCTCTTGGAAGCAAATTTGTCGATCAGGATGGGTCCTTTTTTCTCCTTTGATGTGTCAGCTTTGACAGGGCGACGAGGTGGTGGTGCTACAGAAGGTCTTGTTTGTAGGTGAGGTGCTAGTTTTGATGGAGATGATACTGAAGGTTCAGCAGCAGATATGGACTGATCCCTAGTTTCAGTGCGTGGACGGTCTCTAATCACCTTATGTACAGTGGGCACAGGGTTCCCCTTTCTCCATACACTCTTTAGTGTTTTTGTCCTTTTGGAATTCGAGCCTTCCTCCACCACTATTGGCACTGAACTATTAGGCTTTGCCACATCATTCTGTCTCAATGCATGGTTCTCACCATCCACATTTCTGGAGCTCGAGGCCTCAAGTTTCTCTGCCTTCTCCAACACCTCATCCAATGACTCTCGGACCTTCTCTCGGTCTTGCAATGTTACGCCTGCTGGCTTCCTGGCAGGTGCTGATGTTGTTGCTGTATCCATGCTTGCTGGTGGCCCATTCAGCCGGACTGGCCTCTGCGGGGGCTTTGAAAGAAGATCACTGTCATCATCAGCTTTAACGTTCACACTTACTCTTGATGAGAACTGAGCTCCCTTCTCATCGATCAAGTTAGTTATGACCATACATCTACATAGTCTTCCAGGTGCACATGGCCACCTCCGGACACCGTCAAAACCCGTGAAACTGATCCTTGAAACCAAGTGCCCTCTCCTCACTGCCGCTGTCGGCAGTGGGCCAGGCCTTCCGTTGCTCCCCAGGTTGGTAACAGAAGCAGGAGACGCCATGACAGTGCTCTTAAAAACACTGCCTCGCACTCATAAAGCTGAGGAAGCAAGATTAATTTTGAGTGCGCACAAATTTTTGGGAAACAATAACCGAAAGCGAGCTAGGTAATCAAACGAGAAAAACACCTATGTACTTGCATGTTGGCTCGATATATCTAAATTCCAGTAGAACTTTATCAGTTCAAATTTTAGAAGAATGTAAGGGTGCAACAATTTAAGCTGAAATCTGACAATTGACATGCCTATACGGACTGGTTGGAACTTGGAACCTACAAAAATGGATTTTATTTCTCTGGGACACAGAAGACAGCACATAAAAAAATAGTGAGAAGTGAAACCAAGCTTACGAATAAACGAGGGTTTTCCGCCGCAATCCTGCAAGTTGGCGAACAACCACAAGGGCACGGAGCAGACGGAATGGCTGGCCGTAACGAGAAGCCGGCGCGAACACTGACAGTGGCCGTGCGTCGGTGGGCGGGGGAGCGACGCGAGCAGGCCTCGAAGGAGGCGGTCTAAGGGTGGAGAGGTGGCAGCGTGGGCGAGGGAGCGAGTCGAATGGCCGGCGAACGACGACGGCGACGCGGCGCGGGGCGATACGGCGGCGTGGCGAGTGGGAAGGAGCGGAGGGTGCGTGTGCAGGAGTGATAAGGATCGGACGGTCGAAGTTAAGCAGCCGATGTCAGAATAAAATGGGGAAAACAAATGCAAGAGTGATAAGGGGGCACTTCGGAGAGCCACTCAAAGGGATCGTCGTCCCTTCCATGCGAGTGTCATTGAGGTTTTCGCTCTTATATAAAACCAGTTTTTCTTTTTTGGGTGATATAAAATCAGTTGTACTCCCTCACTTCCTAAACTAGATGACCCCGTGTGTTGTTGCGAGAATTTTGAACACACCAAGTTTAAATAAAATTTGATACAACCATGATGCTCAACTGTTCAATAGTAGTAATCCAAAATAAATAAAGGAAACAATTAATTAAAAGCAAATAGAATTATAACAATTGACCATGCATGGGGGCTATACGGACTAAAGGAAATTTGAACATGTCTTGTTTGGAAATAGTGAGACTTCACATATTGCAAGTGAAGAAGGGTATGACTAATTGTACGAAATAAAATGTGTCTATTGAGCTTTTATGCAAAAGCATACTCTACATGACCTTGTAAATAAGTGAAGTGGTGTCAAACATAACAAAGATTTTTAATGGCACCTACCAGTACCAACGAAAATATTAAGGCCTCCTTTGGTTCATAGAATTGAAAAATCATAGGAATAGGAAAGTCATAGGAAATGAGATGACATGCATCTCAAATCCTATGCATAGGAATAGAAATTGAGATGCCCTTTGATTCACATCATAGGATTTTTTCCATTGAGTCTAGGCTAATGTTTATTTTCCTATGAAATGTGGAGGATAGGAAGAATTCCTTCATAGGAATAGGATTTCATTCCTACAAACCAAAGAGCTCTGAAGGAATTTTTCCTATAGAAATCCTATCCTATGAAAATCCTACAAAATTCCTCCAAACCAAAGGAGGCCTAAAGGAAATAATACTAAGGAAAGTTGGTCCTTACCTAATGTAATTTGTGGCTGAATAGCTTCTTTATTTTTCAGATTATCAAGATTTATATATCTGTTGTCATCAATAATAGCCATGGCCAACAGTTCAATAATCACTATGAATTTATCAACGGGCAAACATCGGCACCATACACAGGGAAATATTCTTTCAAGATTGTAGTATATTATTAGCCTCTAAGGATGAAAGCTAAAGAGAAGACATTGATTTACGACTTCATGGATTGGTCCACAGATCAAGTTATAACCTCGATAAACCAAATAAGTGTCTTCGTATATTGCACTTCCTGCTTCAACAAAAAATAGAGTATATTTTGTCTAGTGCTAAAGGCAAACTGAAGGTTTCTTATAGTGACCAAATAGAAGTCGTCACTCAATCTGGCATCTCGTGAATTTTAATGGGTTTAAGTTTTAGCACCAGAACACACCCAAATCAAATTACTCTATAGAATATATTTTGTCTAGTGCTGAAGGCAAACTGAACTTCTTTGAATGACCATAATAAACTCATTACCTCAAACACATGTTACTCGCCAAGATCAATTCTCCTCTATTGGCAATTCGGCTGGCGACAACATGGCTGGTCTTTGAGAGTGCCACATGAGAGCTTCGGTTTGGTTGAGCAAGTTGATGAGCGAGCGAGCGAGAGAGAGAGAGAGACCCAGAATCCCATGTGAATCCAAAGAACGAAGCCAAAGATTATGGGTTGATGGCACACAGTTAAAATTCTGATCCACAATCCATATAGCCATTAACGATTCATCGGGGGCCAGCCAAACACCGCCGAATGGCGATGTACAATCAGATCATTGTGCCTGCAAACCCACAAATAACGAAATTAGATAGGTATGGAAAAAAGAGGAAATCAGATTGAATTTGGAAGAACAGACGATTAAACTGAGATAGTTCTGGAATGAGGAGAGATAAGAGGAAGAAGACTCAACGTTGGGAAGAAAAGAATACAAAGAGGAAGAGTCAACGGTGAGAATATCATCAGGTCCATTTGCTGCAATGAAGAGACGACGGTATTTTAGGGAATGAAGAGGCGAAGTCAAACGAAACGCTAGGGTAAATTGGTGATGAGTCACCGCACCTATTATCGTGCATGCCTAATCAGTGCATGCCACACATGTCGTAGGCCCGATCAAATCATTAATGAACACTTTTTGCGGGGAATTAATGCTTTTAATCCTTCAACTAAATCCCCTTCTCCCCGAACTCTTGAGGCACTCTACAAGTTTTAGGTTCCGTGCAATCAGTGATGTGTGCATATACTCATGTCTAGACGGACTCCACCGGCCTCACACAACATGCAACGTCTGATCTCTAGGTTCCCTAACCTCAGGACGACAACATGTTGTATTTCGTCATGGTCAAGTGCTCACCTCAGAATCAGAGGCATGTAGGCACTCCTGCTGGCTATCGACCTCGGGTTCTCAGCATGCATCCCTCAACGAAATCGATATCACATGATCCATCACTTTGGTTTCTCGGCATGTCCGACTCCCAGCACTTGTGAGTCTGTCTGACGGCAAGGTCGTGCATATGGTAGTGAGTGGGTTACAGAGATGGGCACTTGCAAGTGCAGCGGGGGGAGAGAGAAGGAACAACAAAAGAAGATAGAAACTAAAAAGCGCCTCGAGAGTTTGGGGAGTAGGGGATTAGTTGAATGATTAAAGGTATTAATTAATGGTTTGAGCAGTGGCTTTGCATAGCCTAGCCCACGCATAGGAAGGCGGGTCGGGAACTCAACAAGAATTAAACGATGCGCAACATGGGCAAGAACCAATGGGGAAAAAGAGAGGTGACGTGGTTGCATTGAATGCTGATGTGGCACCATGATGATGTGGATAATGTGCATGTTGAGAGAATTGGTAGTAGTGGGGATCAACTTCTTAAGAATGTAAGATACAAGTATATCTCTACTCTTAATGGAGCAGTTGGTAGTCTTCGTTCCGGTTTTTTCATCCCACCTCCCACCTTGGTCTTGTTTTTTACCGTCCTCCTTCCACCTCCCACGTAATGATCCCCTCGCACATAGCAGAAAAAAGAAAAGACAGAGGCCCCTCACACGAAAAAAATCAGAGGAACGAGGCTTCCCTTGCATGTAATGATCCCTTGCATACCAGAAAACCAGACGACGACCACGTAGCAAAAAAACAGGGAGCGAGCCCCCCTCGCACGAAAAAACGGACAAACGAGCCTTCCCTCCATTTATTTGCTATGTCGACGGAAGCCACACCCCAGCGGCCATCGTGAATCCCTTCACCGCCGCCACCGTTAGGGACCCTGCCTTTGGAAATAAAGTCATTCCTTGTTGTCCATATGGCCCGGGAACCAGAATGGTGATCTCTAGTGCAAAAGGCACATGCAAAAGTGCTTTTAAGTGATGACTTTCATCCTGAATTCCCATGTGAGTAGGATTCCATGTGGGCCAAATACATGTGCAACAGATTTGAGCAAAATGTCAATGCATGAATAAATGGTCTCTAGTTTCAAGTACTTACAAGTCACACATGACACAAGAATACTCTTCTATAAAGAAGTTCTTGGTAAATTTTGATATTAATTAGTGTACCTGCAAAATTCATATCATGATAATAGCAACAATTCTTGGTCGCATGCAATGACGTTTTTTGCAGCTATATCTGGACACATCATTGAGCTTGTGGTTACGGAGGAGTCTAGTCATGAGGCATTGATCATTCGAGCTCAGGTGGAACCAGATCGACCGAGGAGGCTTGACCGAAGAGGTTTTTCTTTGAGAAGATGTGGGCGCGACACAAGGAATATGAGACCATGTGAATTCGGTTTGGGGGCAGACGGGGTTGGTGACCATGGGCTAACAACTCTATGGGAGAGGCTTTGCCAGGTCTTGCATGATATGTAGATGTGGGGCACATGGTCTTTGGCTATGTGCACAAGGAGATCAAATGCCTACGTGACCAACAATGTGAAGAGATGGAAAGTGCACTCCAATATGGGTCCTCATGGGAGGCCCATGACATGGAAAAGAAGTTGCATGAGATATATGAGAGAGAGGAGGTTATGTGTAGGTAGTGACCGCGGTTGGAGTGGCTCGACGCTGGTGATAGGAACACCCATTACTTCCGAAACCGGGTATCTCATAGGAAGCACAAGAATATTGTATGTGCCCTACTAACGGACGATGACACTTGGTGCACCACTAAGAAAGACATGTGGAAGATGGCTAGTGAATTCTATACCACATTATTTATCTTAGAGGGTTGATGAACAGAGACATTAGTTTTTAAAATATTGAAGCACTAGTGTCGCTAGTGATGAACGGAAGGCTGACAGCAGCCTTCTCGGACGAGGAGATTGAAAGGGCAATGGGAAGCATCCTACAGACAACTCCACAAGCTCACCTTCCACGTAGCTCCAACTGGACCCATCACA